GTGTGTGTGTGTGTGTGTGTGTATCATAAGTTGGGGCCGGTGTGTTCGCTCAGTGTTTTTTTTAAACGTGTGTGATGATCCTGATTTCAACAAGCGACGAGGAGGAAGTTCAGATATTTGTATTTCTACTTTGTTCCTTCTAACCTCTGTATATAACTACACGTACAAATACACAACACTACACTATGTAATAAGTGAAACTAGTTACCCCCCCCCCCCCCCCGACAGTCCACAAACAACAGGTGAGGGCTTGTTACAACCGCTGGAATCTTGTGAACCTGGACTGACGCTGACTTCGCTCCACTCCATCACCCCCCAGCAGACAGATGACCCCTGTGCGGCCTCAGCGACAGGTGAACGCAGACGTTCCCAGAGCGTCTGACAGCCGGTGCCTCGCTTCCACCGCGTGAAACAACCTTTTTTCACCGTAAAGGAAACGCCACAGGTTCGATACCGACCATGATGAAGTCCGTCTAACTTTTTATGACTGTTAGGAATCTATCACATCCCCCGAAGAGTGTCAACATTCTGAGGACGTGTGGTTTGATGTAGGTAAACACATCGTACATTTCCCACGTGTATAAGAAGTCAGTCTGGTTCTCAGACACTTTCTGAAGATCGTGAAACGTCTGGACTTCAGAGGACGATCACACACGTGCAGTGAAAATGACAGAGTGAGTCACGGGCTGTGAAGCGTGAGCAGAGCGGATGAAGAAGAGCGGCAGAGACGGAGCCGGTGGTCGAACACAGGCTGGTGATTGGCTGTCGGGCCTGTCACTCACCGAGGGGCAGCTGGTGATTGGCACACAGTGTTTGGGCCGACACTCGACGCTTCCTCTAACACAGGCGCAGAGGGAGCAGTTCACCGACGACCACATGTCTCCTTCCTGAGCAGAGAGGACACACAGCGCTGTCAGAACACGTCTCTTCATACTGTTTGTCCATCAGTTCATCCTTTCATCATTAACTCCTGTCCATCCCTCCATCATTGCATTCATGCACTCATCCCTCCTGCCTCTCTCACCCTGTAGATCTTGTTGCGGACTCTGCAGTACTTCACCTCCTCCACCTTCACGTAGGACAAACAGTCCTCACAACACTGGTCGCCCTGGCAACTGCCCGGCCGCGAGCACCGCCTCTTGCACACCACTGTTGAATCCTGGGAAGACGGAGAGAGAGAAACATAAACAGGCTTCATTAAAGGTGATGGGCTGGATCCTCGGTGAGAGACGCTGATTTTCCGCTTCCTGTCCGGTACCTTGCAGGTGCAGGTGGTGCAGTTGTCGTGTGTGAAGGAAGTGCCGTTCTCATAGACCTCACTGTGGAACAGACAACTTCCTAAAGACAGATCGAACACCTTCCTCTGACCTGGAGGACGAAGAGGAGGAGGAGGAGGAAGAGGAGAGACGCAGAGAACAACTTTATTATCACAATCTCATGAAAACTTGGTGTCAGATCTGCAGATGCGGTTACGAGACTGAACTGTGACTTGAAAAGTATTTAAAAGTTTTTACCGAGACATCTGGGACAGCAGTGTCCAGGCGGGGTGTGGCTGAGGTGGGCGGGGCAGGAGAGTACAGGACACACCTCCCTCATGCAGAGAGTCCGCCCTCCCTGGAAAACAACAAATCACAGCTCAGTTAGCCCGACGACAATTAAAGAACTTAATTAACCTCAGAGGTAATCCTCCTCCAGCATTCACACAATTACAACTTTATTTATCGAGTTCTACAAGTGAAAGCTGCTTTGTTTGATGAGACACTTCATTCTCTTCAACAGATTTCATTCATTGTCATATGTGCTGGTTATATTTGAGTCATGTATGTTTCTATGTCCACTCGGTTTTCTGTCCCTCTCCATGTCCTGGTAGAAGACATGTTGTATCTCAATGGGACGTTTCTGGATAAATCAAATAAAAACACATTGCAGGATGTTTGAAGAACTAATGTAAA